CGCCATCTCTCGGCAAACCGTCCAAGTTTGTCGTGAAGTAGTTTCCATATTTACCTTCATACGTCGATACATATCAAAGCTCTATGTGAATGGCTAACAAACTTGGGCGATTTATAGATAGATGGCGTTATTTGTATCGTATTTATCTACATACGTCGGTACATACCGTAACTCTATGTAAATGACTGCAAACTTGGGCGATTTGTGGATAGATGGCGCTAATTTTATTTTTAATATATATATCTCTTTTAAATTTCGTTACAGTAAATGGATGGCGGTAAATCAACAAATGGTAGTTTATTTCCAACGAAAAATTTTATTATAAGAATCTAGTGTTTTCAGTTTTGAAGCGTGCAAAGATTGCTGCAATAATACGATATAAAAGTAGCTTAAAATTAAGGAATATTGGCAAGATAGTCCTTCACATTAGAGGGATCCAATCTTCTGAAACCATTCGCGTCGCAAATGCCAACTTGTATATTATCGGCGGTCAGCTGACCTTCGAATCCTTCCTTTAACGTTAAAATGGCAGTGTGAACGGCATCGTCTAGTTCCAGGTCCTCGCTGTACCTTTTCTCCAGAAAAGTTTTGCCGTTTACGAAATTTTTACCCATAGCGGTTGCTTTCCACGCAAAATACGCTCCGGAAGGATCGCATTGAAATAGATACGGCTTGCCGTTATCCCACCCACAAATTAATAAAGATACTCCAAAAGGTCTGACACCGCTGCATGTTAATATTGAGTATTAATTAGTTACAACGAATATTACGATAATTAAATTAAAAAAATAAGTTGGAGAATGTTTACCCGGATTGCGTATACTCCTGCATAAGCATGGCGACTCGTTGCACCAACTGTGCAGTTGGTATCGGTTCTTGATATACGAGCAAATACTGCTGTGCCATTTTACGCGCTTGTTTCACCAGCAACCTATAGTCTGGCCCCATTCCGCTGTACGTCATGCCGATATGCTTTGTAATCATTTCTACTTTGTTTACACTATGTTCATCGTACAATATAGACTTGTGCTTATTCTCCGTAGCAAGGACAATTCCATCGGCTGCCTTGATACCGACGCTGGCTGCTCCAGCGGCTACGGCGGCTAAAGCATATTCTATCTGCACCAACTTCCCGGATGGGCTGTCGAACAGAATAAATTGATTTTTGTACTTTGGCAGTTACGCTGCACGGATGTGTCGAGTCATTGTGGACTCCGGTACAATCGATGTTTTCAATAAAAAAAACGATGTAAAATTATACGTCGTAACCAATTTCGAACGGACTACACCGTGCAAGGAAACTTCATTCTTCCGTCGATGTACATTCAACGATAATTTCTGTTAACTAACGCGGCTGACTTATTGCTAGGTTAGATTGTGACTGGAGAAATTTCGATGATCGACAAAATTATACGAAAAGGACGATAACATTTTAAGATCAAATTTGGAAATCTGTGACTATTAGCAAAAAAGTTATAGCATTTACCTGAAAGTTGTTAACGAAAAACTATACCGTTCCGAAGCCATGACAATTACTTTGCAACAATACTGAACAATATAGGTTACTAAATATTGTGAACTGGGAGCATAACGTTCGGCAACGTGCAGAAATAAAAACAGTGACTAGAGACCGTACGCATCTAGGGACTTTTTGATTTAGTGTTTTGGACTTGTGCAAATCATAGATGGACAAAACAGTAGGCTTTTCGCAAAAGCGATTCGATATGATCGAACAGTTGCGACGTTCACGTTTAAATAAAAGAAGAATGGCACGTTTTTGACGGGCTGTGCATTTATTTCGGACAAGTGCAGAAATAAAGAGAGTAACTAGAGACCCTACGCATCTAGGGACATTTTCCAAAGAAGGAATAGAGACAAGTACATCGGCAAACTTCAGATTTATTTGAAACCTAGGGCTTTGGTGATCGCTGGTACAAATTCGAAAAAATACGCAAACTTCATGGTTATATTCGCATCGTGACCGCTGTACAGAGAGGAGAGTCCAGTGCGGTGTCACAGTGCGAGATGCAACGTTTATCGAAATAGTCAAGTGCGTATCAAAAATATACGAGCACTTGGATTTTCGAAGTTTCAGTGCCTCAAAACAGTTTTTTTATAAAAACCATTTATACTAAGATATTTAACATGCCAAAAAAACAACCTATTATATTTCAATATGGAATTATGTGGAATTATACATACAAAACAATCACTAACATTAGTTTAACATTATGATTGTCGTTTAAAGAAGTTACTTTCATTTTAGATCTCGTAACGTCCGGTACGTTCTCTATGAATCAAATAGATGGCTGCTCTTTACTTCTTTTTTATTTTTAAAGTGCGTAGATATCTTCTACATTGCACTGTCTCTTGTATATACATTACAAAGGTGTTACCTTATATCTAGATTACATTATTTAATGTATTAGGAACATAACATTGCAATCTTGCACTTAACTTATTTGTACCGTATATATTCTAGAGTTGTATGTATGAGCTTATGATCTAATTTTCTGAGCACCGTGTGTATTCATTACAATTTAACGCAATATTTTATACTAGGTTCCCTAGTTTGACACACCAACCTTTTTATATTTAAATGTCGGTTAAAATTCCACCAACAATTGGCTTAACTATTTTTTTTTTATCTGTCTCAGTCTTTTTATTTGATACTTTTCTTATGCTTGTATATACATTTCAGTCTTTTGGACTACTGTACCTATGTAACTATTATAATATATTACATCAAATACAACATTTATCAAAAATAAATTTAAGTATGAATCTCGTAACATAAAATAAGAGTATCTTTATTTACTTATTATTAGCTTTCCTAGCGACTGCTGTTTTTCCCAGCCCTAAGATTAACTTTATACATCTTTCTTTGCTTACTTATCAAATACTAACTCTTAACGCATATCTTTGTACCATTCCTCCTTCTTCTTTGGAATTTTCTATATCTTGTAGTTATCTTGTGCGAATGTTCCTATCCTTACTTTTAAACATTCTTTGGTATTTTCTTACTGCTATATTCTTTTATTAATAGAATTAAGGAACTTGACTTTAGTTTTCATGATTTTGATCTTGTCGAGTTTTAGCAACTCTATCACAGATTTACCCACTAACTCTATTTCCTTTTCTAGTTTCTCCCATATTAGCCTCCTCTCTTGATTGTATAAGCCACAGTCGAATATCACATGGTCGATGTCCTCGTCCGCTTGATTGCAGTCGCGTTTGCCATCGTCTATAAAATTTTTTCTAGCTAGAGATTCTTTTAAATTATAGTGGTTCGCCGTGATCCTTGATATTATTTTTCTATACCTTATAGGGCATGTCCTGCACAGAGTATTGACATTTTTCTAAAGGGAATTTTTATGGAAGACAAACTGAAGTCCTTTCTCTCCCTTTTTCTCTCGTTATCTGTTAGCACAGCCTGCTTAAGTATGTATGTGCATCGGATGGCATTTTTTATTCATCCTATTATTCGTTCAAAGGGTATCGCTGCCTTTTCTCTAATGACAAAAATCTCTTTGATGTAAGCGTTCGTTATATATTCGCTTTGTATTCAGCGAATCCTCTCGAATATATGTTATCAGTTGCTGTACAGAAGCTGATGTTAATCCTGGCTAATAATGCCTAGTCCTGTCGCAATAGATATTTCAGTCTAAAGAGTGAAACCCTCCCACCATCGCGTACTACATATTAATATCCAGAGGACGGTCAAAGTGCTTTCATCGATAAAAGCTGCTGGCTATACAGGGTGTTTCTTAATACGTGGGCGTTTTTTAGAGGGTACGATCCTAACACTAGTACGAATCGAAAAGTCTTTTAACAATTTGCGAACTGTCTCTTCGTTGTCGATGTAACGTTAGACATAAAATATTGCGTAGAAAGAAACATTCGGAACAACCTAATAAAATCGTCACCGGCTCTCCGACTATTATGGCATATCTAGCAGTCATTAATCAATCTGCCAGCAATAAACAGTTTATTTGGTTACAAGCGCGACAGAAGTTCGTGGCAATACACGACCAATATTTCTTCCTCCTCGCCCTCTCAATTAAATCGTAATTACGACAACTCCCAGTTCATCGAGGGTACCTGGCTCTAAAATCTTATCTACAGCGATCGCAAGGGGGATATTCGGCCACGTACCCCGTTTCGATTTTCTTGCTACCGGTACACTTGTACCGTTCGATTACTCTTTCTTATCGAGAAGGAACGCTTCTTGGACATCGTGAACGGGGCGAAATCAGAGCGGAGGCTGATTTATGACTTCGCCTAGAACGCGGTCCTTTGGGATAGGGGAACGGCAAAACAAGAAACACGAGTGTGGGTAATAATAGTTTCTTGCAGTTCCACGGTACTGGACACGGAGAAAGGGTAATCCGGTGTCGCCATAAATTCCAATGATAATAATTACCGCGCCTCTTTGCCCACCTTTTTCTCTGACAACCCCTCCGAGCGTGCGCTTCCGACATGAGCCGTTGCATAATTTTTGCCCGTGCAACAATGTATAACAAAACAGAAACGCGGCATTTTTTCGTAATTGTTACAGGGTGGGAAGTTCCCATCGCAACGTGACAAGATTACTAAGTGGTAGACAGAGGGAACAGATTATTTCGATCGGTTCAATTTTTACTTTTTCATTTGTATACAGGGTGTCTCAAAAATGTTGTAACACATTGAAAGAGGTGGTTCAGGAGGTGATTTCAAACAACTTTTTCCTTAGCGAAAATGTTGTCCGAGGCTTCGTTAAGGAGATATTAACAAAAAACCCAGACCAATCAGAGCGCGCGTAGACCGTTCGAGCGGCCGCTTGATTGGTCGGGGTTTTCGCTTAATATCTTCTTAACGAAGCCCCATCCGACATTTTTGCAAAGGAAATTGTTGTTCAGAATCGTCTCAGCTACCCCCCATTTCCGGCTCCTCCCCGACTTTTGGGACACCCTGTATATCCTATATATCTTTTTTCTCTTTCAGAAGAACCTACGTCTATGCATCAGAATGACGTCAGGCAGGATGCGCAGGAGCTGGACGACCAACGGATGTACGAGATGCAGCTCCGTTTACAGCAGCAGCTACAGGATCTGCTGCAGCAACAGAAGATGTACCGTCAGTGGCAACTGGAGCAACAGGAGCTGGACTATCAGCGGCAACTGGAGCAACAGCAGCAGCTGCTGATGGTGCTGCAACAGATACAGGCGCAACAACTGCAACAACAGCAGCAGCCAAATGGAGAAGAGGAAGACGAAAATATCCAGCATCCGCGCCGCAGTAAGTAACACAAATCTCATTAAGAGAAATAATGCTGGTTTACTTTATAAATGAAAAAATATTTCTGCGCATTCAATGCCACTATATTCTTCTTATGTATTTTGACTTGCGAAACTGGAAAATCACATTGAGGACATTTTTTATGGATGGGTTTTCCAGATATGGTTTTTGAATTTTTTTTGTTTCTTTTTTTAGATAGCTTCACATTTTAGACCATATCTCGAGTTAGAAACGACCGATTGGGTCGCGAAAGATGCCACGTTAAAGATAATCGAATTTCCAACAATTGCTTCTAACATTGTTTTCCAATCTATTCCGTAGTTTAAGTGTTGTGGGCAAAATTATATAAGAAACGTGAATTTTTTGGGCTGAAATAAGAATCGAAAATTCAAATTTTACTCTGTTTTTGTATTTTCTTCATATTTATATAGACACGTTTACTTAACTTTTTTCAACTTTACTCAATTCTTTGTAAAATTGCGATCCATACGTAAACAATAAGAAACAAAACTGATTTTTTATCAAAGTAATCAGTAGTTTATTCTGAATAAATAAAGCTATTTTAATTGTGTTCGTTGAATGATATTTGGAGACAAAAAGTACCGAAATCAACGTATACCTATTATGCATACAACTATACCTTTGTAATTGGAGGAAGAAGAAGCAAACTAATTTATTGTATTCTAAATAATAATTTAGAGGAATCATATTAAAAATATATTTACTCGGAAATTTTGTCTGAATATTATCTTTGTGAATCAATCTTTATAATAAATGTTCGATGTCTAAAACTTTGAGTTGTGGGATAAAACTCTTTGTAAGAAATAATTCTCAATTAATGTAGACTTTTTATGTAGAGCTTATAGAAATGGAGCCATTTTCTCATTTCATCATTAACATTAAAATTTCTTGCAGCAAGAAAAGAAATTACTTGGCGTAATTTTTTTACTTTTTTGAAGTTTTTTATGGTTTATATAAACGACCCTGGTTGTGCACCAACTACCGATCTTCTAGGTTCGAGGAGTTATCGCGGCTACTTTCATGTTGTTTCATCGCCACCAACCGACGCAAATCAATGGGTGCAGCTTGGAAACAGTATCACGTTTCGAAGGGACGAACGTTCTAATTCGGCTAGCTTCTCTGTTCTGCACCGAGGTTCGCGGTACCGTTAGTAAATGGAGTTAGTTTCCGGAATACCTGGATGCTTCACGCACTAACGAGTTCCTGATGTTCCACGTGCCGCAATCTCGGACCACAGCTTCGTTAGACGGAGATAAAGCGTTGCAGCAGCCGACTGTAGAC